AACTTAAATCCCCCTCCTGTCTTTCACATAATATTAAGTAATTAACTAATTAATGACTTCACTAATTACCTCCAGTTCAAGAAGGAACAACGGGCAAATTAAATGTGGAAAATTGCATTTATCTGAATGTAACTCATTATGTACATAACAGTAAATGATAAAGATAATTATTATTTATCAGAGTTACATAGACAAGTAGGAATTTGGGACACCTAGGTCACAAAAATGTCCCCCTTCGATACCTACCACTTTCATATCCACAAGTTGCTCTAAACCTATTAATTACAAATGAAATGTACATACACCAGGAATTCTGGTAAATATATAAATTTGTGGACTATATTAAAATTAATAAGTGATTATATATACACATTTACATAACAGAAGAATATATCTTAATATCACTCACTAATTTGACTGGAGATTAATGTGTATCATACTCAGAAAACCTCACTGTCTATACATGAAAATAACACTGGCCAGGGTTACAACATAACAGACTTATCTGAGGTTCCTGGAGCTGTCTTGTCCAGTCGCCTGATATCTCAAGTTATGCAGGAATGCACATCCAACAATTTCGGCTCCTATTTGAGAGGTGTCAGCCCAATTTTACCTCTAGAGCACGAAAAATTCTTCCCATTATTCACTTACGTTAGTGTGCAGTTCAAACAACAATGGCGAGCCCTTTCTGTGCAGGCGCAGCTTCTTCCCATTTTTTATAACATAAATTTTTATTAAATACAGTATGGCTATCTATTTACATATAACTACTGTATTTCTGGAAAATATATACAGTATTTTCCACACATCATGTGCTAAAACAAGTCTCCATAAGACGGTAAAAGAAAAATGGCTGGTTTTATAATTTTGGAAAATGTTCGAATAACCACTCAGTTATTGCCATATTTTTTGACCTTGAGAAGGCATATGACACAACTTGGAGGTATAATATTTTATCCCAAGCCCACTCCTTAGGCCTTCGAGGCAATCTACCATCCTTCCTTAAGAACTTTTTAACTGACAGGCATTTCCGTGTTCGGGTTAATAATGTGCTCTCCCCGGACTTTATCCAAGCTGTGTTCTGAGCACAACACTTTCTCCTTGCTATTAATGATTTGGCCTCTAGTCTTCCATCAAATATTTGGTCATCACTCTATGTTGATGACTTCGCTATTGCCTGTGCAGGCGCTGACTGTCACCTTATTACAGTTTCTCTCCAGCATGCAGTCGACCGTGTTTCCAATTGGGCCACCACACGTGGGTTTAAATTTTCCAGCACTAAAACCCACCAAATTACTTTCACTAGACGCTCTGTCATCTCCGATCATCCTTTGTACCTCTATGGCTCCCGTATCCCTGAACGTGATACAGTCAAATTTCTGGGCCTCCTCTTTGATTGTAGGTTTTCCTGGAAATCTCACATTACCTCTCTGAAGGCACTTGTCACAGCGGCTGAACCTTCTTAAAAACCCCTTTTCATCTTTCATGGGGAGCTGATCGTCGAACTCTCCCTTTTCCTACATTCCACCCTTTTTTTTTATCGAACTTGATTATGGTGGGCCAGAAACTATTCAGCGGCATCTCCTGCTACTCTCTCTAGCCTTTAAACCCCCCTTTATCACCAAGGATTATGTTTTATGCCTTGGTGCTTTTCGCTCTTCCCCTGTCAAGAGCCTCTATGCAGAAGCGAACGTTCCATCCTTATCCGATCGCCGTGAAAGCCCCAATTTTCTTCGCTACTATGTACACTCTCATGATCTCCGCAATCCTTCCATTTATGAATGGTCACTGATATTAGTAGACATTCTTATTTGGTTCGCCGCCCCTGTTTACTCTGTCCCTTCTCTCTTCGCCTTCATTCGCTCTTGTCTTCTCTTCAATTACCACCTTTCTATGTACATGTAGCATCTCACTTTTCCCTACCCCCCTGGGAAGTTCCAGCTGTTCGAGTCTGTTCTTTCTCTCTCCCTTGCTCGAAAGCCCAACTGTCTACGGTCGCTTCCCGTTCTCTTTTTCTTGACCACTTTCACTCTCATTCTCATGCCATTGCTGTGTACACAGATGGCTCTAAGTCCTCTGACGGCGTAGGATTCGCAGCAGTGTTTCCGGACAGCATCGTACGAGGGCATTTACTATCTTCGGCTAGTATTTTTACTGCTGAATTGTATGCCATCCTTACAGCACTTATCCGTATTGCATCTATGCCTGTGTCATCATTTGTGGTTGTCTCAGACTCCCCTTTGTGCTTTACAGGCTATACAGAAATTTGATACACCTCACCCCTTAGTCCTCCATATCCAACTTTGGCTACGCCGCATCTTTACCAAGCATAAAGATATTGTTTTTTTTTTGGGTCCCTGGTCATGTTGACGTACAGGGCAATGAACAGGCAGACACCGCTGCGCGGTCAGCAGTACATGACCTACCAGTTTCATGTAGAGGTATTCCATTTACGGACTATTTTGCTGCAATATCTTCCACCTTCACACCCGTGGCAACAACGTTGGTCTACTATGCTCGGCAACAACTTCAATCTATTAAACCGAGTATAGGTTACTGGCCGTCTTCTTATCACCAGTGTCGAGGTTGGGAGACTACTCCTCCCGTCTTCGCATTGGCCATACTCGTCTTACTCATGGATATCTCATGGAGAGGCGCCCTGCTCCTCTCTGTGAGAATTGCCAAGTTCCATTATCAGTCAGCCACATTCTGTTGGACTGTCCACTTTATCAACGAGCACGCAGAATTTACCTCCGTCGTCGTCTTCGCTCCGCTGCTCTCTCTTTACTTTCCCTTCTCGCTGATGGACCCACCTTTCATCCAGACTCTCTCATTGACTTTTTGACAACAACTGACTTACTTCACAAATTCTGATACCTTCAGCCCTTTTTACTTCAATCTCTTGCTACCTTCTACCCCCGTACTATCCCCTGCCCCGCTGTTTTCTGTAACCTACTGATCATCCCTCCTCCTTTCTGCCATCCAATACCCTCGCTTCCTTCCCTACCCTGCAGCGCTGTATAGCCCTTGTGGCTTAGCGCTTCTTTTTGATTATAATAATAATTGGAAAATGTATAGAGGGGGGAAGGAGGGATCTTAGTAATGTTCTAATTGCAGGTGAAACTACTAGTGCTGATAATTATACTGTTGAAAAATTTCCCAACGAGTTGAAAGAAGTGATTGATATAGGAGGCTATAAGAATGAAGAAAGTTTTAATGTCAACGAAATGGTTTATGGAAGATGATGCCTTTGCATACTTATTTAACACATTATAACAATGTTTTAAACGGCGTATTAATAGTTTTTTCGCATTACAACCGTGGGTATAACATTTCTTGATGTTTCTTCACTTAATTTAGAAGTCAAGATCACTCAATAAGAATTACATACTAAATTTCTACTCTCTCTACTGCTGCCTGTTGATTATAAAATAACATTCAAGTTTTATATAAATTTCCAAAGGATTCATTCAGAAGTTGTTATTGTGAAGTTAGTCACAGGAGATCATGCACTTGATGGCTCCGTCTTCACCAGTATGGAACATATCAAAGGCTTTCTGGAACTCTTCAAACTTGAAGCGATGAGTAATGAGAGGCTTGACATCAATCAGTCCATTGGCAATCATGGCAATGGCAGCTGGGTAGCTGCCAACAGGAAAAACTCATTATACACGTGAAAAATTATAGAGATTAGGTGAAGAAAATTTTAGTATTTTTCACAACAGTAAATTATTTAGTATCCGGCAATTTAAGCTTTTCTAAATTCTTCTCAATTATATATTATTATTAAATTCATAGCGAAGCACTAAACCCACAGGGGCTGCACAATTAAGTAATGGGATGAAATAAGGTTTGATCCGGAGTTTAAGTTCAGATTCAGGGATCAAAAACCTTTCATCGGCATCATGTACACCATTAAAGGACTGTAAGTTATATCTACAAATTTTAGGTTAGTAGTGAGTGACCGTTACTTTAATTGTTTTTAAGAAACTACTACAGAACAATGAAATAGAGTGGACCCCCGGTTAACGATATTTTTTCACTCCAGAAGTATGTTCAGGTGCCAGTACTGACCGAATTTGTTCCCATAAGGAATATTGTGAAGTAGATTAGTCCATTTCAGACCCCCAAACATACACGTACAAACGCACTTACATAAATACACTTACATAATTGGTCGCATTCGGAGGTGATCGTTATGCGGGGGTCCACTGTATTAATTCACGACTGTTGTACAAGACTGGCAAACTATCAAAATAATCCTGGTGCATTTTAGTTATATATGTTGAAATAACACGAATATTGTATACAAAATTTAATACAATTAAAAATTTCATTAACTTTAAATATTGAAGGAAGCTGTATGTTTTTCTGTTGATGGTGATACACAAATTACAAAGCAGGCCACATCTTATACTTGATTTTAATTTGATACACTCAAATGCAACTTTTCCCTTCAAAACTCAGAAAGGCAAAAATAAAGTATATGTATAACAAGAGTTTACTCACCATTGGATGTAACGATATACACCTCTGATGTCTATTTCCCTCATGCCAGCGTGAACAAGTGGCAATGTTACTTGAGGTGATCCAACACCTACTAACATTATCACTCCACTAGACCTGGTCGCCTGTACAAGAAATATAATTTGTCAATCACTATTATAACTTGTGCAGTCTTAGCACAACATTCTAGACAATCTAGAGACTATATTCTTCAACATATATAGCACAAGTAATAACTACTGAATTTCATGATTGTGTTGAATCAAAATCTTTCTTAAGCTAAGATTCTTGTTTATATTCTACTATATTGCTCCTACACACTGAAAATACATGATCATCCAAACACAAAATTTTAAATACATTTATGGCACAAACGATGAAGAAAATAAAAATAAGATTCTTATATTTCGACTTCACAATGAAGGCCTCTTAAAGAAGCTGTTATATTATGTTCATGTTTGTCCGTATGTGCCATTCATTAGCATATTAACATAATTAGCTTTCAACTTACATAGATACCGGTGGTAATAGCAGACTGTGTGCCACTGCACTCCAGTGTTATGGGTGGCATGCAACCCATTACATCTTTGATCTTCTTAGCTAGAATCTTGGGGTCACTGTCATCCACCAGCAGTGTGTGATGAGCACCGATATTCTTAGCAGTCTTAAGACGATTCTCTTTGATATCTGTTAGAGGTTATAAAATATATTTGCTCATTTCTGCATGACTTTTAAATTATTGTAATTCTCTCAATAAAAGGACTACTATGCAGGGCTAAGTTTCTAAATTTGATATTAATGTGATCATCGGGAACAAATGTATATTAAAACAAGAGTTGGAGAAGAGAAAAAAGGTGGGCAGACAGGGTGTGAAAAAATGTATTTTGTATGCGAGCAATTCTCGTGATAGCCTAAAAACTTAATGTATTTGAGTTGCTACGCGAGTGGAGACAGGTATCCTTGTATTCCATCAAACGAGTGCCCTGTGCCTCAGTGTCTGCGACTGGAATAATGGCGAGTGTGGTATAAATTGATAATGTAGTTGAATATTAGTGTTGAAGTTTTGAGGAGAATCAGAAGACTGCTGTGGAAAATACTGTATATATTTTCCAGAAATACAGTAGTTATATGTAAACAGATGGCCATACTTTAATAAAAATTTATGTTATGAAAAATGGGAAGAAGCTGCGCCTGCGCAGAAGGGGCTCGCCATTTTGTTTGAATGGGGTAACAGACGTTAGTTAATAATGTGAAGAATTTTCGTGCTCTAGAGGTAAAATTGGGTTGACACCTCTCAAATAGGAGGTGAAATTGTTGGATGTGCATTTCTGTATGACTTGAGATATCAGGCGACTGGACAAGACAGCTCCAGGAACCTCAGATAAGTCTGTTATGTGTGTAATTCTGGCCAGTGTTATTTTCATGTATAGACAGTGAGGTTTTCTGTGTATGATACACCTTAATCTCCAGTCAAATTGGCGAGTGATATTAAGATATTCTCCTTCTGTTATGTGTATGTGTATATATATAATCCTTTATTAATTTAATATACAGTCCACAAATTTTTATTTACCAGAATTCCTGGTGATGTATCTTTTATTTATAATTAATAGGTCTAGAGCAACTTGTGGATATGACAGTTGTAGGTATCAAAGGGGGACATTTTTGCGACCTAGGTGTCCCAAATTCCTACTTGTCTATGTAAATGATAAATAATAATTATCTTTGTTATCATTTACTGTTATGTACATAATTAGTTACATTCAGATAAATGCAATTTTCCACATTTAATATGCCCGTTGGTCCTTCTTGAACCGGAGGTAATTAGTGAAGTCATTAATTAGTTAATTACTTAATAATTATATGTGAAATGACAGAAGAAAATGATGAAGATTACAATGATGCGGCAGTGTTGTGTAATAAATTTAAAATGTTAAATAAAGTAATTGATCACTGGTCTAATGTGTGGCGTAAGGAATATCTTCTTACACTACGTGAACACTTTTATGATGCGACAGAGGCAGTAAATCGACAGATCATTCAACCAGGTGACATTGTGTTAATTGACACTGAACAACATCGAACATTGTGGCCTCTGGGCAAAGTATTGACATTGTACCCAGATGCACAAGGTGTTGTCCGGAATGTCAAAGTGTTGTGTCATGGCCAGGAAAGTTTACGCACAATTAATAAATTGATTCCCTTGGAATTAAATGACATTCAATCAAATGTAAATGAAAATCTAAGGGAAAGTGACACGAGTGATACGGAAGGTAATGCTGACCAAGTGATGCAGGAAGAGGAAATCGTAGTAAGACCTACTAGGAGAACAGCCACTCAAGCCAGAACTGGCTGGAATCGTCTCCTAAAGGAAGGAGCAGTTTGAGTCGTTTAGCAACGAACTCCACCCGGCCGCAGTGTGGAAAATACTGTATATATTTTCCAGAAATACAGTAGTTATATGTAAATAGATGGCCATACTGTATTTAATAAATTATGTTACGAAAAATGGGAAGAAGCTGTGCCTGCGCAGAAGGGACTCGCCATTTTGTTTGAATGGGGTAACAGATGTCAGTTAATAATGTGAAGAATTTTTGTGCTCTAGAGGTAAAATTGGGTTGACACCTCTTAAATAGGAGGCAAAATTGTTGGATGTGCATTTCTGCATGACTTGAGATATCAGGCGACTGGACAAGACAGCTCCAGGAACCTCAGATAAGTCTGTTATGTTTGTAATTCTGGCCAGTGTTATTTTCATGTATAGACAGTGAGGTTTTCTGTGTATGATACACCTTAATCTCCAGTCAAATTGGTGAGTGATATTAGGATATTCTCCTTCTGTTATGTGTATGTGTATATATATATATATAATCCTTTATTAATTTAATATACAGTCCACAAATTTTTCTTTACCAGAATTCCTGGTGATGTATTTTTTATTTATAATTAATAGATCTAGAGCAACTTGTGGATATGACAGTTGTAGGTATCGAAGGGGGACATTTTTGCGACCTAGGTGTCCCAAATTCCTACTTGTCTATGTAACTGATAAATAATAATTATCTTTGTTATCATTTACTGTTATGTACATAATTAGTTACATTCAGATAAATGTAATTTTCCACAACTGCATTCACGAGTCATTACATGGAATCAAATATCCAAAATTCTTCAATAAAAAAGAAAAAGGTAAATTAAGACATATATAACCCAAATTTAATTGAAACCTTTAAAAGACCACAAGAGACCAATTTCCCAAAACAAACTAGCACAATAAGCCTGAAGCCGCTCAAAAAATTCCATTATCAAGTTATCAGCATGGAAGAGTTGATGAGAGGCGATACTCAGAAATGAAGTCAACTCAAAATAAAAAATCATACTCAAAATCAAGCCAACCATTTCTCTAGGTAAGATGGATCAGCTTCTAAGAAAGTACAGTAAGTTTGTAAGATCTATGTAAACTTAGTGTACATAATATACAAATTTTTGACTGGTCTTGAAGGCACACGGATGTTATAGACAGTTCAATGAACATTAAGTTGATTTAACCTAGGATAAAAAGTCAGGCACTGTGACTTATTTCTGATCAGGAAAGATATTCACTAATTATCTCGCAGACACCAATTTGATTAATAAAATTGACACATGATACCTCACACAACCTGACATCAAGAGATTATTTCCTTTAAGGAAAACATATCAGCATTAAAAATTTAAAACTGACCAAAAGATGCATTTTCCATTTATTGCAGAGAAACCAATAAAAATTATGTCTGCACAACTTAAACGCGTGAAACGTTCTATCCATTTCATACGATGCATCAGCCATTGAAAGTGACGTCGCATAAAATGTTAATGTATTAAGCAAAGGAAAGCGCTAAATCCGCAGGTCTCATATAGCGTTTCGTTGCCGTACATAAGCGTTGAGAATCTGAAGCCGACTGGTTGAGGCATTATCGAGTTGTGAGCAAAATAAATTTGAAAAGCTGGAAAAGGAAACACGAACATTTTTCAGGCAACATTTTAAATGTCCTTCTTCGGAAACGCCTAAAAATTACTTGTAAAAGTAAATGACTGACATGTTTGTTATTCGATAATTCACATAAATAATATTGCACCTAGTACAGTACATGAAATGGACTATAATACTGCTATGAAACCTTCACCACATGATGAATTTGGCCTTCAAGGCATCTACCTACCTGGCATAGGTATACTAATCTAACAGGCCACATTTAATGCTCACAACTTCTGTAACACCATCCATTATCACAATTTCTGTAGCCCCCCCCCATCTGTTATCGAAACTTCTGTAACCCCATTAATTATCACAAGTTCTGTAACCCCCATCTATATATTTATTACAATTTCTGTAAACCCATCTATTAATAACTATTAATTATGAGTCACAACAGTCCTCGATAACATTACCAGTAACTAGGATGTTGGTGGCGCCCATAGCCTTAGCAGTCAAGAGGCAGAGGAGACCAATGGGACCAGCACCACATATGAGTACAGATGAACCCAGCTCAACACTAGCCCTGCGACATGCATGGACAGCAACAGCCAGAGGTTCAATGATGGCGCCCTCCTCGTCACTCACGTTGTCAGGAAGTCTGTCACGATTGTAGAAATTTGTGGAAACCCAAAATCCCCACCGTCGGCTTGTAAATAATAGGCGGCGCTCAATAATGATCAGACTCTGCACCTCTCATGAGGTGATAAATCAAAGGTAACTGTTATTTTGGACAAAATTGAATGTTTAGGGAAAATTAACCATTTATTGAGAGATAATGAAACGTAGGAATCACTCATTAAGAACCCCACAATAAGCAACTTAAAGCGCTATTGAAGGGGAATGATGAGGTAATTAAACATCTGTCAGCTAGGTTGGCAACTCCACCATATCTTTATGGGGTAATCAAGACTCATAAGCCAGGGTACCCAGCCCGTATTATTATAAGTTTAGTAGGCTCAGCAACATATAACCTATCTAAATGGCTGGTTAAACTTCTAACTCCCATAGTAGGTAAGATCTCGGATGTACATATTAAAATCAACGCTGACCTTACCGAAAGACTCCAGAAATTAAATGTCCCTCATGACTTTACCCTAGTGAGCTTTGAAGTCACAGCTCTGTTCACCAAAGTCCGTGTCCCTGACTTGCTTTTGTACCTTGAAGAGGAACTAGAAAAATTCCCTATGCCCTACCCCACGAAAATAATAACTGAATTGGTAAAACTGTGTTACTGATTGTAAGTTCATGTTTGAAGGGAAATAATATGTTCAAAAACAAGGCATGGTAATGGAAAATCCCCTTAGCCCCTTACTCAGCAATTTGTATATAAAATTCTATGAGACTAGACTTCTTAAAGACATTCTCCCAGATAAAGCTAGTTGGTTCAGATACGTAGATGATGTTCTTTGCCTATGGCTGAGAGATCTCAACATTGAGGAGTTCTTACCTAGACTCAATGGTCTAGCACATTCCATTAAGTTCACTACAGAACACGAAAAACAACACTTTGCCGTTCCTAGATGTTTTAATCCATCGTGTTGATAGAAAATTAAAATTTACAATTGATAGGAAATCCACCAATGTGTCGTCATACATTCACTACTGTTCCAACCACGAAACTAAGGTAAAAAGGAATGTATTTCTCACAATGTTCTTGAGAGCCTTGCGCTCATTAATAGAATATAAATATAAATATATATAAATGACTATTGAGCAAGCATGCTAACCACAATACATGCACTGAAGAAAATTTACAGAGAATTAAGTCAGTCATCACTATAAAAAACAACTTTCAGATAAAAGATTTTACTTGAAGCAGAGGTCAGCATCATGAATGTAGTACCGAGCGAGGCAGCCAGGATAGCGCCCCAAAGGTGAGTGGAAGCTGGCCTGGTCACACAAGTTGTACCTGCCACCAATACATAAGTCACAGGTACGACAAGGACCACCTGTTTCTATGGTAACCCGGTCACCTGCAGTTAAGAAATTGTCAACTATAACGAGAGTGTGATATAGTGCAATGTCATTGGGTTTAATTCTATGTTAAACGTTATGTGGAAATTTTTATGCATACATTCAAATCCCCCACCATGGGCTAATAAATATTAAACATTTAGTATCTTGAGTTGCACGTCTATTTGTGTATCACACGCAACATTCTTAACGAACAACTGGGGTGTCCCGTGGCTTGATTGGCAGAGTACTCGCCTCACACACTGAACGTCCTTGGTTTAATCTCTTGCATGGTGTAAGGGAACATTGGACATGTTCCCTTACACCTTCTGTCCCTATTCACCTAACCTAGCAGTAAGTGGGTGCCTGGGTGTTAATAGACTGGCATGGGTCGCGTCCTGGGAGACAATACTGAAGGACCCCCAATGGAAATAAGACAGATAGTCCTCGATGATGCACTGACTCTCTTGGGTTATTCTGGGTGGCTAACCTTCCGATTTAAAAATTCGAACAAATCTTATTTTATCTTATCATTAACGAACCCTTAAACCCTTAACATTTCGGTAGGTTTAGGCCTTAGTAATAATTCAGGAAGGGTTTGAAACATCATAAAATATTAGAATTATGGTAATAATTTTAGGACAATATTAGGTCATTACATTTAGGAATTAAATTAATAGTGATTAAGAAAATAATACCGGAACCCTAGCAGCCAGCTAAGGGCTTGTGAACGCACGAGAGCTTCAGCACTAGACATGAAAGAGGAAGCTTACCTGGCCGCAAGTGTCAACAGCAGAGTGCTTTCTCTGGAGAACAAAATACACTGACACTGTAGTGGCCTATGAACAGAAGTAGGCGGCTTCTGCGTAAGATCCCATCCACGATGATTATTCATATTCCTTGACTCAATAGGGTGGCTGTTGACGCTAGTAAGGTCAAATCCTTCAATTCATAACCTGGCTGGTCAAGTATGCGCGTAAAATCCCAAAATATGGTATGCTATAATAGGTTTTGTATTTTATTTTAATCGAGGGAAGCACTAAACCAAGCTATAGTAATTGCCATCTCAGTAGCTGGTCACAAAGAAATTTTCCCCTTGTTATTTTAGTCACTCTTCAGGTCACTTGTTCTATCTAGGCTGGAATATTGCTGCACACTAACAGCACCTTTCAAGGCAGGTGAAATTGCCGACCTAGAAAATGTACAGAGAACCTTCACGGCGCGCATAACGGAGATAAAACACCTCACTTATTGGGAGCGCTTGAGGTTCCTAAACCTGTATTCCCTGGAACGCAGGAGGGAGAGATACATGATTATATACACCTGGAAAATCCTAGAGGGACTAGTACCGAACTTGCACACGAAAATCACTCACTACGAAAGCAAAAGACTTGGCAGACGATGCACCATCCCCCCAATGAAAAGCAGGGGTGTCACTAGCACGTTAAGAGACCATACAATAAGTGTCTGGGGCCTGAGACTGTTCAACTGCCTCCCAGCACACATAAGGGGGATTACCAACAGACCCCTGGCAGTCTTCAAGCTGGCACTGGACAAGCACCTAAAGTCAGTTCCGGATCAGCCGGGCTGTGGCTCGTACGTTGGTTTGCGTGCAGCCAGCAGCAACAGCCTGGTTGATCAGGCTCTGATCCACCAGGAGGCCTGGTCACAGACCGGGCCGCGGGGGCGTTGACCCCCGGAACTCTCTCCAGGTAAACTCCAGGTATATACCCAATAACATAAGGTAGGCCAAGAGTTTCAGCACAGCCTTGGCCGTAGATCAGAGACACTGACTCCCATAATTTTTGCAGGTACCATTCTCTTGCACGAGGATCGTTGTGCAGAAAACTTCTAGAGGTTAAGATAACCTGGGGTAGACACCGGGGAACTAGCCAGGGGCAGCCTTCACTTCACTCCATTGTAAGTCTCCCTGCAAGGGAGGTTCACTGATGCTGGTGAGGGGCTCTTGATCTAGGGAATTAGATCTATGCTCCAATTCCCTGAATTAAGCCTGAATGCCTTCCATCCCCCCCCCATAGGCTCCGTATAATCGGTACGGGTTTAACTCTCCCCCATGATAATAATTCATTGTAAGTCTGTTCCTAATTCTGCACGGGGAGATAGGACCCTGCTCGTCCTCGTCCTAGTAGATACTAGACAGAACACAGAGTGGAGACTTGTGAGGGTAGAATTATTAATTTTATATGTCACGAGAGTCGTGACTGCCTCAGAGTAGAGGGCATCACAGGTTTCCAAAAGTGGCTTTGTTATATATTTTCGTCGTATTTTGATGAAATTATCACAAGCCAGTGTTCTAAAGAAATATAGTCATCATATTTAAAAAGAAAAGCTTCTAAAAGAACACTACATAACTATGTAATACCTTACCTTTCACTATATGTAATTTGACTGCTGTACCAAATTCATTCTAACTACTACTGTATCAGTGTAGCTCATTCTTGACACAGCTGTACGAAAGTAACTAGTGCTAATCACCCACATGAACGTAAGTCATTTTAACGCTGCATCAGTGTAATTCATTCTGACCACCACCACTGTAATAATAATAATAATAATAACCTTTATTGCTAAAAGTACATGTACAATGTATACAGGCCTAGCTGACATCACTGACATACTATTATATAGAAAGTCGCTTGTTATATAGAGCATTTCAGGAAAATTAGGTCAATTTTGTCCCCAGGATGCGACCCACAGTAGTTGACTAACACTCAGGTACCCATTTTACCGATAGATGAACATGGACAGCAGGTGCCTTAAGGAAATACGTCCAAATGTTTCCACCAGTACCGGGGATCGACCCCCGGACCTCAGTGTGTGAACTGAGTGCGCTAGCAATCGAGCTACGTAACTTACTGCAGTTGCTACTGTATCAAATACAGTGGTCCCTCGTTGTTCGTAATTAATCCGTTCCTGGAGCCGTTACTATAAACGAAATTTACGATTTACGAATCAATTTTCCCCATAAGAAATAATGTAAATACAATTAATCCGTTCCTGACACCCAGAAGTATTAAAACAAAAAAATTTTTAACATGAAATATGCATGTAGTACATAAACAATACAATGGGAAATGATGAATGAAACATTAATAGCATAACACTTACCTTTATTGGAGATTCTTCTTAGTGTATGGGAGACTGGAGGAGGAGAGAGAGTGGATTGTTTATAGTTTGGAAGGGGAATCCTCTTCTCCATCAACACCTCAGGTACCATTTGCTTTTCTGGGGTTGCTTCTCTTCTCTGTTTCTTTAATGCCACTAGGACCACTTGAGAGTCACTGGAGTCCTGTCTCACAAAATAACTGTGGAGAGAACTCTGTTTCGGCGTCTCTTTAACACTTCCAAAAAAGGCCCAAGACTTTGTCACTGTACGTGTTGCCAACCTGGCTTGCAACAACCTTGTTGGGTGATGTTTCTCCATAAGCTTTTCCATCTTACCCACATAGTTAAAAATCTCTTTAATTTGAATGAAAGGCACCTTCTTCCATCTCTCTTCTCCTCCTCTGCAGCAAGATTCTGAGCTGCGATTGTGTTGCTCTTCCTGCTGAAGCTCTTGCAGCTCCTCAGTGGTGACCTCTTCATTGTGGTCTTCCACCAATTCTTCCACATCCTCCAAACTCACATCCAACCCCATGGAACCCCAGTGCCACAATTGATTTTACAACAGCATAGGCTTCATTAGGGTCAGTCCCAAATTCTTCAAATCCCTCTTGTCGACAATCTGGCCACAATTTTCTCCAGGCAGAGTTTCAAAGTCCTGGTAGTCACTCCCTCCCAAGCCATACCTATAAGGGTTATGCAGTGGAGGATGCTGAAGTGTTCTCTCCAAAATTCCTTAGGGTCAAGTGAGTGTCTGTGGTCAAGTCAAGCACTGTGAAACATTGCTTTTGTGTAGAGTTTTTTAAGTTTGCAATAACCTGCTGGTCCATGGGTTGGAGGAGAGGAGTGGTATTCGGGGGCAAGAACTTTACTGTGATTGAACCCAAACTCCTCGAAAATTAGGTCATCCAAGTTTGGAGGATGAGCAGGTGCATTGTCCATTACTAGCAGACACTTGAGATCCAATTTCTTTTCCAGGAGATACTCCTTCACATAGGGCCAAACACTTCGTTGAACCACTCGACGAAAATTTCCCTCGTGACCATGCCTTACTATTAGATTTCCAAAACACACACAATTTACTCTTCATAACATTGTTTTTCCTGAACACTCTGGGATTTTCAGAATGGTACACTAGTAATGGCTTCACCTTGAAATTCCCACTAGCATTAGCACAGAACATTAGCGTCAGCCTGTCTTTCATAGGCTTGTGTCCTGGCATTGCCTTTTCCTCTTGTGTAATGAAGGTTCTCTTTGGCATTTTCTTCCAAAAGAGGCCTGTTTCGTCACAATTGAACCCTTGTTAGGTTTCAGTCCTTCAGCCTCTATGTACTCCTGGAATTCATGCACATATTTTTCAGCCGCCTTGTGGTCCGAACTGGCAGCCTCACCATGCCTTACCACACTGTGTATGCCAGTACGGTTCTTAAATCTCTCAAACCAGCCTTTGCTGGCCTTAAATTCACTCACTTCACCATATTTGCAGGCAATTTTCTTTACCAAATCTTCATGCAACTGCCTAACCTTTTCACAAATAAACGAAGTCATAGGAGTATCTCCTGCTAATTGTTTCTCATTTATCCACACCAATAATAACTTCTCAACCTCTTCCAGTACTGGTGATCTCATTTTTGTCAGCATAGTTACTCCCTTAGCAACAACAGCATCCTTTATTTAATTTTTCTTGGCCACTATGGAACATAAGGTTGTGTAGGGTTTCTTATACATCCTGGACAGTTCGGCCACACTTGTACCACTTTCATACTGTTCAATGATGGTTTTCTTAAATTAAATCGTATTTCTCACCTTCTTTACCACAGGCTTGGCACTAGGAGCTTTCTTTGGAGCCATGGTAGCTTATTTAGTACTTGCAAGCACTAAAATAAATGGAATATTATGAAATATTTCGCTGGAGCATGTGAGGGGACCTTCGCTCACTGGTAAACAATGCCAGACTGGCTGCCGCCCTGGCTCACGCCGTGGGTACGCGTCCTGGATGAACTACGACTCACAAGTCAACCTATGAAAAGCGAGTCCATGTTTATACGAAAATACCCCTATGATTGGTGAATTTTACGATTACCGGGAACTACGAAAAGCGGGGGACCACTGTAATTCATTCTAACACAAACACACTGCATCAATGTAACCCATTATGGTCATTAAGGTAAAAATAACTCATTCTAACTACATCACTCTTAATTTGTTCTAGACACTAATGTGCCAAAGTAACTCATTTTAACCAACCATTAATATCAATGAAACATTTTAGAAGCTCCTGTATTTATTTAACTCATCTTTCCTAAACATCCATTAGCTGTAATCTCCTACCCAGGTAGGGTGACAAAAAAGAATTATGCTCAGTCATCATCACTCATTCAAACACTGTCTTAGCAGAGTATGAAGACATAACTAAAGTTCGAAAATCGTAAATTATCATCAGTTTCGAATAAAAGTATAATAATGGTCATATTTTACCTAAAAAATGAAGTATGTCAAAAAAATGCCTCCAATTACTCTGAAAAATCGAAATATTAAATGACAATTTAGATTTTTATGTTTCATATAACATATAAAATATTTAACTTTAGTTATGTCTGCATACTCTGCTAAGACAGTGTTTGAATGAGTGATGACTGAGTATAATTCTTTTTTGTCACCCTACCTGGGTGGGAGATTACAGCTAATGGATGTTTAGGAAAGATGAGTTAAATAGATACAGGAGCTTCTATAATGTTTCATTGATATTAATGAGTTGTTAAAATGTGTTTTGCAAACATATATGAGATGTTAAAAATTAGTAAAAAATGTGCGAAAACATTATTTTATTGCGCATTTCGATAATGCAGTGAAGTTTGAAGCCTATACTAAGGTCTCAATTTTTAGCTTCCCCACCTTTCCTCCAGGACTCAAGTCCGGCCAACCGGTTGTAAATTTATGGTAATCTATCAACTGAAATTCCTACACCAATAAGCGTCCCTAAAACTTGTGCTGATTATCTGGTTTAATGCTTATCGACCTCACTTCCTTGACAGGCCTTCGGCCTAGTGTGGGTTAACACCAACCAACTCCTGTGTACCATGTACCGAATAAATCTAAGGTTCATCCATGAAGGTTATTATTATAAGCCTACCGTATATCGTACACATCGTACACTTATTCTCGTCCTCACCTGGTTTCAAGTTCTTGACGGCGGGGCCACATTTGGTGACCACCCCAGAACATTCATGACCGATTCCTAAGGGCGGTTTCCTCACAGAGTCCCCCACACGCCCTTTGTATACCAAGGAGATGTCTGACCCACACAGCCCCACCTTGGATATGCGGATTAACACATCTGTGCGAGAAGCAAATGAACTTGGATTACATGTAAAAATAATGACCGTCATTATCTATTAATTATAATTATAGTACTGTAATACATGGATGAAATTACGTACTACTAACAAGTGTAAAGACAAAAAAATATGCTGAAAAACAAACTTACACCGGAACAACGCTTCGCTCTATGTAAGCTCTACAAGAGCGAAACGTCTTTGGCTTCACGCTGTAATGCCAGTTATATATACAATTTGCCATACTATATGGAACCTGGATTAGCCAGGCATCATTCTCTCCCCCATAACCCTGCACCGCGATGGCACAGTCTATGTAGTGACCAGGTTTGTCGGGGTATAAATGGGAAATTCACACTTAGTGTTAGAGTTGCGATGTAGCACATGAAGAGACAGTAGCGACATTTACTTCATAACTGCCATTATTAATACTGAATAACTGTATAGCAACATTAGATTGGGTAGCCAGCAAGAGAAGAAGCACTTTCACTACCACTCCATCACCGTCTTGCCAGAGGCGCGCTGACGTTACCGTTCATATGTCCCTCAAACTGCAATATTCCCAGCCTTTATTGGATCTGTGCTCCAGTTCCCCGAATTAAGCCTGAATGTCTTCCACATCCCCCCCCCAGGCGCTGTATAATCCTCCGGGTTTAGCGCTTCTCCCTTGATTATAATAATAATAATCCCAACCTTTAGTGTGCAGGCACTGTACTTCCAGTCTTCAGGATTCAAGTCCAGTTAACCAGATTCCCTGAATCTATAAATGTTACATTGCTCACACTCCAACAGCACGTCAAGTCATAAAAACCACTTGCCTCCACTCACTTCTAACACTCACACACACCTGTTGGATGCCCAAGCCCCTTGCATACAAAAACGTTACCCCCCTCCCTCAACCTATCCTACAGATATATATACACCCTCCAAGTTAACCTATTTTGCTCTATTTTCTCTAAACGTCCTAACTCTTAGTAATCCCCTCAACCCTCTGGATAATACTTTTAGTAACCCTGTAACTTTTCATATACAAACTGCAAATTCGCTGCATTATGTTCACACCACACTGTCTCCAGCCTCCCCACTTACACCACCACCTGCTCTACCACCTGTACTCCTTCACCTGTACCACCACCTGCTCTACCACCTGTACTCCCTCACCTGTACCACCACCTGCTCTATCACCTGTACTCCCTCACCTGCACTACCACCAGGAGAAATGCATTACACAAAAATAAAACTCCTTGGTTTAATGAATATGGGAAGAACAGGAAAAAGAAAAAGAATGTATTTATTATCACAAGCCCTATTATTAATAGAGTGGTAGACTAGCACTTACCATTTGGTTTGAGAGGTGGGATGGGATGCGTCTCCTGGAAACAGAATCATACAGTTAATTGTGCATTATGGGAAATACTGAGAAATTCAAGTAAATTATAGATTGGGTTACAAGATCATCACGAGTAAACAAATCTAAAATTGCCCTATATATTATTACAATTATGCAGAAGCGCTAAACTGGTAGGGGGACATATGGAACCTCTACTTGCGAGCGTGTCCAAGTGCGAGTTTTTCCAAATATGAGCAGTCGATGGGTCGATTTTTTGCTTCCATACGCGAGCAAAATTTCCACAAGTGAGCAGACCTCAAGGCAGGTTCCTTGACACTGGTGAGGGGCTCTTGCTCTTGATCTCGGGAATTGTATCTCATTTGTTTGTTGGACTATCTTATTGAAACTTGGGCAATGTATGATGGAAAGATGCTTCTTAATGTACACCAAAAATGAAAGAAATCTAAGCATAAATAATGGAGCTCACTTCTCAGCAATTAGCCACCCCTTAGTGGTAATTTCGAATGGTTTTTATGGTTAAGAAAAATGTTTGAAATTGTACCATATGTTTATAAGATACCTTATTGAACTATCATTATAGTTAACTGCATTAAAAATCCTTCTAAACAGTCTATGTCTAATTCTTAAGAATTCTAAGCATTAGAATTAGTTTTCCCGAAATGCATTACATACTAGTGGCTTTATTTTGTGCCTATCCATGTTTTATTACATGTAAATTGTATTATTTTTGTGGCACAAAAATAAATAAATTTTGAATTTTAAGTATTATTATTATTATTATCATTATTAGTCACATAACGAAACCTTTCAATAACACAATATCCTGTAATCTTTACATCTCGTCTACTAAAATTCCTGATTACAGAGGAGGCTTTATTGGTATTGTGGATAATACTGTATACATTTTCCAGAAATTCAGTATTTATATGTAAATAGATGGCCATACTGTATTTAATAATATGTCATAGAAAACGGAAAACCTGCGTCTGGGCAGACGGGACTCTCCATCTTGGTTTTGAATTGGATACAACGTTAGTGTAATGGGAAGGAGTTTTCATGCTCTAGAGGTTAAAATTGGGCTGACACCTCTCAAATAGGAGGCGAAATTGTTGGACATGCATTCCTGCATAACTTGAGATATCAGACGACTGGACAAGACAGCTCCAGGAACCTCAGATAAGCTCTCTAGATTTGTGTATAATTCTGGCCAGTGTTTTCATAAATTTAGTTAGTGAGGTTTTTCTGAGTATGATACAACTTAATATCCAGTCAAATTGGTGAGTGATATTAAGATATATTTTCCTTCTGTTATGTAATTTTGTATAATTAACCATTTATTATTTTTAATAT